CAACAGCTCATCTTTTCAACCTCAAGGAACACGTTGCAGATGGAGCTATGCACCGTTGACAAACGCTCGTTTGCTGCGTTCAAGATGCCGGAGTTTGAGTACTATTACTTTTAGCACATACTGTACTTCAGTTAGATCAAGTTGGTAGTTTGAGTACTGTTACTTTTAGCACATACTGTACTTCAGTTAGATCAAGTTGGTAGTTTGAGTACTGTTACTTTTAGCACATACTGTACTTCAGTTAGATCAAGTTGGTAGTTTGAGTACTGTTACTTTTAGCACATACTGTACTTCAGTTAGATCAAGTTGGTAGTTTGAGTACTGTTACTTTTAGCACATACTGTACTTCAGTTAGATCAAGTTGGTAGTTTGAGTACTGTTACTTTTAGCACATACTGTACTTCAGTTAGATCAAGTTGGTAGTTTGAGTACTGTTACTTTTAGCACATACTGTACTTCAGTTAGATCAAGTTGGTAGTTTGAGTACTGTTACTTTTAGCACATACTGTACTTCAGTTAGATCAAGTTGGTAGTTTGAGTACTGTTACTTTTAGCACATACTGTACTTCAGTTAGATCAAGTTGGTAGTTTGAGTACTGTTACTTTTAGCACATACTGTACTTCAGTTAGATCAAGTTGGTAGTTTGAGTACTGTTACTTTTAGCACATACTGTACTTCAGTTAGATCAAGTTGGTAGTTTGAGTACTGTTACTTTTAGCACATACTGTACTTCAGTTAGATCAAGTTGGTAGTTTGAGTACTGTTACTTTTAGCACATACTGTACTTCAGTTAGATCAAGTTGGTAGTTTGAGTACTGTTACTTTTAGCACATACTGTACTTCAGTTAGATCAAGTTGGTAGTTTGAGTACTGTTACTTTTAGCACATACTGTACTTCAGTTAGATCAAGTTGGTAGTTTGAGTACTGTTACTTTTAGCACATACTGTACTTCAGTTAGATCAAGTTGGTAGTTTGAGTACTGTTACTTTTAGCACATACTGTACTTCAGTTAGATCAAGTTGGTAGTTTGAGTACTGTTACTTTTAGCACATACTGTACTTCAGTTAGATCAAGTTGGTAGTTTGAGTACTGTTACTTTTAGCACATACTGTACTTCAGTTAGATCAAGTTGGTAGTTTGAGTACTGTTACTTTTAGCACATATTGTACTTCAGTTAGATCAAGTTGGTAGTTTGAGTACTGTTACTTTTAGCACATACAGTACTTCAGTTAGATCAAGTTGGTAGTTTGAGTACTGTTACTTTTAGCACATACTGTACTTCAGTTAGATCAAGTTGGTAGTTTGAGTACTGTTACTTTTAGCACATACTGTACTTCAGTTAGATCAAGTTGGTAGTTTGAGTACTGTTACTTTTAGCACATACTGTACTTCAGTTAGATCAAGTTGGTAGTTTGAGTACTGTTACTTTTAGCACATACAGTACTTAAGTTAGATCAAGTTGGGAGTTTGAGTACTGTTACTTTTAGCACATACTGTACTTAAGTTAGATCAAGTTGGGAGTTTGAGTACTGTTACTTTTAGCACATACTGTACTTAAGTTAGATCAAGTTGGGAGTTTGAGTACTGTTACTTTTAGCACATACTGTACTTCAGTTAGATCAAGATGGGAGTTTGAGTACTATTACTTTTAGCACATACAGTACTTAAGTTAGATCAAGTTGGTAGTTTGAGTACTGTTACTTTTAGCACATACTGTACTTAAGTTAGATCAAGTTGGTAGTTTGAGTACTGTTACTTTTAGCACATACAGTACTTAAGTCAGATCAAGTTGGTAGTTTGAGTACTGTTACTTTTAGCACATACAGTACTTCAGTTAGATCAAGTTGGGAGTTTGAGTACTGTTACTTTTAGCACATACAGTACTTAAGTTAGATCAAGTTGGGAGTTTGAGTACTGTTACTTTTAGCACATACTGTACTTAAGTTAGATCAAGTTGGGAGTTTGAGTACTGTTACTTTT